AAAAGGGACCAAGGCATGGGCATCAGAGCCTAATTAACTTATAGTAGGCCCATTTAATTCTCTGGGGAATGCCTATCCTCAGGTATAATGCCTGAGAAATGATTTTTATCTATGCTGCTAAGTCAATAAATTGGTGCTTCCTACTTCTGCCTAGATCCCCAAACCAGGAGAGATGATGTCCAGTGTAGGACCTAGAGCCTGCATGAGGAACCTGCCATGAGGAAGGGCAGGTCAGAGGGCAAGGTTATCTGCGAAGAGATACCAGAGAAAATCATCTGGAGGGGAGTATGCAGTGTCCATAGTACTTTCCAGGCAGAGAGAGCCCACGACCTGACTTCCAGTACCAGTTCTCTGGACAGACATACTCTACTGAGCGTGATGACAGAGGCTCTTTCAGGTTGGATCCCCTGAGCAGCAGACAGAGATGGAAGATTAGCATGTTGTATTGGAGGTGCTCTCAGGTTCAACACGTATGGAGGAAGGGAAGGAAGTAGTCTTGGTTAGAGGGAGAAGTTCTGAAGCTGGGATGGCCTTTCGAGTTGTCCTGAATTGGGGTGGGGGGATCAGGCCTTTATAGGCTAGCTTCAGCCAGTCATTGGATGCATGCTGTCCCCAGAGAGGAAGGTGTTACCTTGGGTGAGGAAATCTATCACCTGAGGGCAATTCCTGAAGAGGGTTGATAACTGAGGGCTGTTCGCTAACAATACTCAAAGTAGCAAGGGGCAAGAAGCCCTTCAGTCCTGAAGGTGGACCTAGATGGCATATCATTGTGTCCAATATTCCTTATGCCTACTACTCAGATCCATTTCTTTGTATAAGTTTTGGGGGTAGCTTGATTTTTCGGGGGGAAGCTGATGGTTAATGGGATGAGTCACATTTCCCACCACTACAGCTGGTCTTGAGCCCCCAACTGTTATCTTCCTCCTCTACCATCCATTTTAGGTGCTTCTCACCCTCAGGAAGCACCTCTGCTGAGCGCCTGGTCACCATGTCCTTTTCAGGCCTTGGCTGCTGCACTTCTCTATTTACTATCAAAATTGAGGAAGGGTATAACAAAGAGACAGCCAGCTGGACTGTGTGGATGCCAAAAACATCTTCCTCTTTGCTCCCATTGTGTAACTGCAGCCCTGGCTCTTCCTGATAATCAGGGTCAATTACTGCTGCCAGGATGGTGACTCCTGCCTCTTGCCTGCTGGTCCCTTGGCATGAAGAGCTCAAAGTGCCTAGTGGCACTTATAAAGTGCAGTGGGATTTTTGCTATAGCCCCTAATGAAAAGACTTCCACTTTGGCAACCAGGACCTCAAAACCCTCAAAGCTCAGACTTGCAGTGACAGAAATACCCAATGGGATCACTGGGCTTAGTGGTAAGTGAAGCCACTCCTACTTCCACCCCTTGCTCCCTGGACCTATCTGTTCTTATTGGGACATAGCACCATATTGACTGTTGACATAATGTACACTGTGTTGTAGAAGGTGGTATCCCATCCTTAGTTGGTACCATCTCTGTGCTGGAACCTCAGCTGTGCCTTCACAGGCCATTCCTTCTTTCTGTTCTTGCTGGTATCTGGATGGTACAGACTGTGGTAAGGCCAGTGGATCCCATGGTCATGTGCCACTGTCCTGCTTCCAAGGCTGTGCAGTGGATCCTTTGGTTTGATGCATTTTTACGTGGGATCCTATGTCAATGGGTCAGACACTCAATCAACACTGAAGATATTGGTGCTGGCTGAGGCCCCACAGACAGAAGGGGCAAACCACACCCAGAATGTAGTCATTCCAGTCAACATAAATTGATGCCATTTCCAGGGTGGAAAGTATCCAATGTTGTCAAGCACCTGGTTGCTCTCCTTGAGGAATACTGCCATTTGGGGGGCTTAGCATTGGATTCATTGCTGCAAAGTTAGGCAGTCAGCAGTGGCATCAGCCTTTGAGTGGGAACCCATGCTCTTGGGTCCATGTATTACTCCCATCCCTGCTACTATGGCCACTCCATTCACATGCCCACTGTGCTGGTACTGAAGTGGCTGATAGCATCTGACATCAGTTGGTGAGTCATTCTTTCTACTTGGTTGTTTAGTGCCTCCTTCTTGGTAGATACTCTCGGGTGGGCATCTGCACACTTCGTGCCCACTCACAAAGTCCATCTAAATACATACGGGTCTCCCAGACCTTCTCATCCTTCATCTTTCTAATCTTTCTCCTGCCAGGTCCCCAATCAACCAGCCAAGCCAACTGCCAGTCCATATATATTCTAACTATGGTTACATTTCTTTCCACACAAAGTGAATGGCCACGTGTACCACTGAGAGGATTTATTCATTGGCAGAATTTCCTTGGCCACTGTCTTTCAAGATCACCTCAGGGTAGGGCTACAGTACAGCCACAGTTCATTTTCTGCTTGTACCCACATACCATTCTGACCTATCTGCAAATCAAGTTTTGCTTTTTTTCCTCTTTTGTCACTTCCTATGCAGCCATACGTATGGGCTGATGGAGAGGCTTTGGTCCAAAATGGTAGATGATATGGATGTCTAGGCCACCTGCTGGTATAGCTTACTTGTGCCTCTGATCCTGTTCATACCCAATTCTGGATGTACTACTTCCGTCTTACTAATGAATTATTGCTGGGCCTACTCAATGTTTTGGTGGGTCTGAAAGGCAGAAGCTAACTTACGTAAGACAAGCTCATGATGAAGAATTTTGGGTCAACTTAAAAATATACAAAGGGAATAAAGTTTTTCAACTTGTTCTGGAGATACACAAGCAAAAACAGTTTGTTGATAATAGATTGGAAGGGAGGTCAGGCTATAGAATACTGTTAGGGCCTAAACAAAAAAGTGGAAGAGAGAATGGTGTAGAACAAACTGATTTATAAAATTCTAAAGAGGAAGAATTGATAAGTGGGCACAGAAATGGAGACAGCAAGCTTATTTATGCCATTCTCTTAAACAAAATCATAGCTCTGAAAAGAAAGAGAAAGGTGGTATCTGGAAAGAGGAGTTAAAAGTCTTTTTTTTCCAAAGCTTTTTTGAAGATGGACTTGTGTTTATGCACTGAAGGAAAAGAGGCAGTAGAGATGGAGAAAAATGGCCAGATTAGAGTGGCTCAGCTGGAGTTCCTGAGAATACATTTTGATAAACAAAACAAAAACAGAAAAAAAAAAACCCCCAAACCAGCAGAAGAGCTAAGCTTTTAATCAATGGAAGCAAGACAGTAGGAAAGTTCAACCTCTTTCCCCATACCTCCTCACATCATTGAGAAAAGCCTGACTCAACAAAGCTTCAAATACTATTTTCTGTTATATACCCCTTCTCCTTACTTGCTTTCAAGGGAAAATAAATATCAATAGGAATCCCCAGAGTAAAATCAGGCAGTCTGGACGGGATAGATCTAAATTTCAGCTTCCAGTAAAGCTTAATTTTTTTCTTTTTGGAGAAACACTTTTTATTAAGAACATCTACAATTGCTCAAATAGCTACAGTAAGAGTAAAATTTCTAAATGCATTATCTTGGAATGAGCACAACTCCTTTTGTATCAATATATTTTTTTTTTTACAATACTTTTTTTTACAATATTTTTTTCTTGTCCCTAAGGTATTAATGTAACTGTAAAAAAATTAAGGAAACAATTTAGTGTAAGGTTCTCCTACTGGACATCCAACAGTTTCATTTTTGGGTACAGAATAATAATGTCCTTCGAGGTCATTTAGCCAGGGTGCTCACGGGTGGTGCGAAGTAAGTTTCAGGAAACTTGTTCACCTTCTCACGCTGTTACCTTTGAGTCAAGGGAGTCGGACAGCTACTAGCCGAACTGGGGCATCTGCCCTAAGTAACTCCATTCTGCTGCCCTTTTACCAAGAGGCTTCCGCATTTCCAGCCTGCGACAGGCCACCTGCCCACGTAACTCTCTGTAAAGTGTCCTGAGCTCTAAGGATGTCACAACGGCCCACTCTAGCGACGTGGGGTTCGCGGAGAGAAGATGAGTGCTAAGACTCTGATCCTCGGAGACTGTCTCGGTACCTTGCAGCAGAGCCAGCTGGAGAGTTCGAAGAAGGTTTTGATGGCAGCTACTTCTAGGTCTCAGCAGGGTCTCCATTCACCAACCGCGTCTACACCGTCCCGCCCCCGCCCTCCCCCCTAACCTGGACACCCCCAGCACTCCGCAGAGGAAATGCCGAGACCCCGTCCCACCCTACACTCAAATTACTAAAAGAGGCGACGCTCCCCCGTCTCTCAGACGAATAGAGCACCGCGCAGGAACCGAACTGGCACTCGGTCGCGCCCCTCCGCGGGGTGGGGTCTGGTGGCGGGAATATGGCGGGTCTGCGGCGGGTCTGCGGGTCAATCTCAGGCGCCCTTGACTAGCTCTCTGGTGCGCCACCTACCTTGCTAGCCAGGGGCCCGGCACGCTGCGCGAAGGGGCGGGAAGGAGCGGTGACGAGTCCTTGGCAGCGCCAGTCAGCACCGAGGAGCCCGGGCCGCGCCCAATCAGGACCCGGGCGGCCGCGAAGAGGGTAGGTTGTAGGCGAGCAGCGCATGTGGCGGACGCGGAACGCTTGGGACCTCACCTGCTGCCGCGACTGAGCCGCCCACCTCGCTGCTTCCCAGGCGCTCTACACCACGAGCCCTGGAGCCGGGTTGAGGACGCCAAGGAGGCAGGGGGCCAACGGGGCTGACCGGCGTCGGTCCGTCGGGTTCGCGGCCCTAGCGTACGAACGCCTCTTGGCAGCGGTTGCGGGGCCACCCCCGCTGCTGTGCCATGACCGACTCTCTCGGCAAAGGGGACTCTTCCTCAGCGGTTGCTGCAGAGAGAGATGAAAAGCCTGTTAGATCGTGAGACGAGTTCGGGGTCGGCCAGTTAGGAGCACTTGGCATCAGGCCGCAGCGCCTTCCAGGGCTCGTTCCTTTTGCCCTCTGAGGGAGGCCTAGTTCGCCTCCGGGCGCGCGGCGGGGGGGGTGGTGAGTAAGGGGGAGTCTGGGCGGAGCGCGCGCAGACGACATGTTCCTGCGGAGGCCGCCGGCCCTGGCCGCCTGGCTGGCGGGCGCGGCGGCGGTGGGGCGCGCGGGGGCGCGGGGCGGGGGCCTGCTCGCCCTGCTGGCCAATCAGTGTCGCTTCGTGACGGGCCTGCGTGTGCGGCGCGCGCAGCAGATCGCGCAGCTGTACGGCCGCCTCTACTCGGAGAGCTCGCGCCGCGTCCTCCTCGGACGCCTCTGGCGCCGGCTGCGAGGCCGCCCTGGCCATGCCTCTGCCTTGATGGCGGCGCTCGCTGGCGTGTTCGTGTGGGACGAGGAGAGGATCCAGGAGGAGGAGCTGCAGAGGTGAGCGATGCGGCGAAGTCGTTTGTGTTCGCTGGGGTGGGGGCCGGTCAGGTTGGGAGGTTGGCACGTCGAACCCTGGGGCCTGCCTTTTGGCTCAGTGTCTCGCGTTTACCCGGTGGTACTTGAAGTGGCGTTGCAGTAACTTGATCCTGTTTTAGCAAATCACGTTTTTATTGCCTCTCTGTGTTAATTTCACTTGTCGGGTTAGAAATAACGAAGTATAGGTTAGCGTAGGAGGGAAGACTTTGAATAGGGGAGCGTGACACTGAAGAAATAACGTTGTAAAAAATACATTAGATATTGAAGGTAACCCATTGTTCACGTAATCTCTAACTCATCCAGAAAGGTGCAAACTCAAAATAGGTTTTAAATTTGACCTAAGGGTATGGTTATGCAATTATGAAATTACTTCATTCCTCATGGGATTTCGTGAGAAATGCCGGGAGAGCTCTTTTGTTATCGTGACTCTTGTGGCTGGAAGGGATTTTTGTCTTCCTCAGATAAACCAGGGGCTCAGACATTTTAACCTGCAAAAATTAGGTCAGATTTTTGCTGCTTTAGCTAGAACTTAGGAAATACTGTTTCATTAGGCTCTGAAATCACGCTGTCATCATCAAAACTTCTGTGTGAAAAAATGCAGTACCACTGATTGAATTTGTTAATCTGTGGTTTTAAATCTGAGCCCTTAACAGTTTTCTTTTTTTTTTTTTAACAGTTTTCAAGTAATGTCATGATTTAGCTCTGATTTGATTTAGCTCTCACTTTACGATGTCTCTCTTTCCTTTTATTTTATTTTATTTATTTTTTTAAAGATTTTATTTATTTATTTGACAGAGAAAGACACAGCGAGAGAGGGAACACAAACGGGGAGTGGGAGAGGGAGAAGCAGACTCCCTGCCGAGCAGGGAGCCCGATGCGGGACTCGATCCCGGGACTCCAGGATCATGACCCGAGCCGAAGGCAGTCGCTTAACCAACTGAGCCACCCAGGCGCCCCTCTCTCTTTCCTTTTAACCGATGTTCCTAAACTGCTCTCGCTTCCTCCTAAATTTGTGTTTCCTAATAAAACTTTACAAAAATAGGTGGTTGGTCCTAGACTGGTTTTCTGATTCTTGCATTAGTAGATATTATTAGTATATAAGTAAATAGAAGATTTACTAGTGACTAAACGTCCACCTTGAGGATATAAATTTAAAACTATAACATTCTTGGGGCGCCTGGGTGGCTCAGTCGGCTAAGTGGCTGCTTTCGGCTCAGGTCATGATCCCAGGATCCTGGGATCGAGCCCCGCATCGGGCTCCCCGCTCAGCGGGAAGCCTGCTTCTCCCTCTGTCTGCCACTCTGCCTACTTGTGCTGTCTGTCTCTCTGTCAAATAAATAAGTAAAATCTTTAAAAAAAACAAAACCAAAAAACTATAACAATCTTATTCACAAAAATGTTAATATAATAAAGCATGATAGGGAGTTTGCCCAATTTCTGTTAGTATTTTGCAACTTGTCCATTGGTCTAATGAAACAGGTTCAGGTGTGAGAATATTTATGGGAGGAAAACTTTTAAATTAAATTATCAATTAACTGTTTGAATTTTCATTCTGTTTTTGATGATGAAACAGCCGTGTTCCACAGTAGTCAAATTTGAGAGGAAAATTCCCAGGAAGAGGAGAAAGACCAGAAAAGGCCTACCTGGTGCAAAAGAGAGGGAAGATGTTTTTGGGTGGGAATTGAATAGTGTTGGGGGCCTAGGTGGTAGATGACATTCTTTGGCTTACTTCATGTGTTTTTATGGATAGTATATCCTGGAGCCTCTGTTTAGTAAGTCTGCCATTAGCAGGAGCTAGAAAAAAAAAACGAGATAAAAAATGAATGTGGTAAACATTTGAGTCAGTAGTTACTACCCATTGTGGCAGAAAGAGACCAGTTGATCACCAGGCCCCATATTCCTTCTATTTCCCTCTCTTACCTTTTTGGGCTGTCTCTGAAACCTAGGGGCACTTCAAACATTTTTTATTCAAATCCAACTCCTAAAAAGGTATTGCTCTCTGTTAACCCACTTGGGAATATCATAAACTCAGATTAAGGTCAGGCAGAACACATAAGGTGCCTTTTTGATCCTCCAGAGTTGTTATTTAGCAAAGGCTTTCATTTACACTTCATTTTCCAGTTCAAGCCTGAATTCAGTCATATACTTAAAATTGGATGGTGTCCATTTTGCGGATTTTAAAAAAATGCTTGTTACCTTCTAGGGCGACAGATATGCTATTAACTGTATCTTGATTGTAAAGTGGTTCTGTAGGTTTCTCATGTTTCTAATATTTTGTCTTTTATTGAATAAAATATTTCGGATTCAGGTTAATTTTCTTTGCTTAAGTATTCAGTTTACTTTAAAGGAGCCATTGCTGGGGCTCCTAGGTAGCTCAGTCGTTAAGCGTCTGCCTTTGGCTCAGGTCATGATCGAGCCCCGCATCGGGCTCCCTGCTCCGCGGGAAGCCTGCTTCTCCCTCTCCCAC